CTGCTGCTGCTGTAACAGAGGCAGCAGTGTGAGGTGATAGGCAGCCAGTCCACGAGGGGAGCTGTTTTTTAATTTCTGCGAACTGCCTGGCAGGTAAACACACTCAGGCAGCGTGAGCACATCTACCAGCCAGGCAGTTCGCAGCTAAGGACTGATACACCTAATTATAATAAAACTTACCTAATCAGAAAATACCAGGCATTTTATATATCTGGTAATTTCTCAATTTCTTTCCCAGACAAAACCTTCAAATACTGGGCTGTCCACTACAAAACCAGACCCCTGGCAATCCTAATCATTTCAACTTTCAAATAAAATCTCATATCCCCGATGGATTAGGAAACAGACAACACATAAGCTAGAATCAAACTCCGAATCTTAACACCAGCACTCACAAAGTTAGTTCTAATATGCTATCTATTACCCCTTTGAAGCGAATATGTAGACATTTTAAAGGTACACATTAATAATCTTCTGAGCCATTATATCATTTTTATCTGAGCACTGAACTATTGGTCTAGGGCAAACTCATAATTTGTCTACCATGCAGAGATGTTAATCTGCACAAGTGCCAGGAGTTAAGTTGAACAAAGAATGGTGGGGACGATGCATGTAATTTTGGCAAGACACTTAAGAGCAGATGGCCTAATGTTCACGAGATATACAAAGCTGGAGAAACAAGACACGTGGCAAACTGAACTATTTTTGAGAAAGAGATACCACAGATAATTTACAACTTTATTTCCAAAATGGAGACCTTTAACAGAAAACAAAAGATGTTCTCTTTGTATGTGTCTGTCTTAGTGATGATTGAGAGTGGGGCATGGATGACCTAAGGGCTAGCTGGCTGAGGGGGGGCAACTCACATTTATGCTGACTGGTTAGGGAAACCAGAAAGATGGAAGTTATATCAGTTTCTTCGAGAGACGCTAAAGGTCTCCAGCTCCTTCTAGATAACCATCTCCAAAGAGTACTGAAGAAACAGCTAAGGGATGCAGAGAACTAAACAACTTAAAGGGTGCTGGGCCTTTGACAGTTTTTCAACTACTGTCTGAAAAACAGTTCTGTTTAACCCAGGAGTAGGGAACCTTTTTTGGGTCAGGGGCCACAGACCCATAGAAAAATCAGTCAGGGGCTGCACAAAATCGAGAAGCAACCCCACGCCCCCAAAACCAAGAAAACCCACACCTCCGTGACTTGGCTCCTCCCTGAGAAGCAGAAAGACACTTCCCACACATGCCAGAGCCTAGAGGAACACGGTCTAGTAGATTTAGTGCTTCCTCCTCCCCCCCACCCCCCGGCCAGGCAGTGGGACAGGGAAAAAATTGAGGGATTCAGAGTGTGAGAGGGGTCTGCAAAAAAGCGGGTGTGGGGTCTGGGCGGAAGGGAAAGTGCAGGCATAGGCTGGTGGATCTAGGAGGGAAGTAGGGTGCAGGAGCGAGCTAGGGGTGGAGGGCCTGGACAGGAGGTAGGGCTCAGGAGTGGAATGGGGGGTGTGCATGGTCAGGTGCAGGAGCAGGCTCGAGATAGGGGGCAGAAGAAAAGACACAAGAGAAAAGTGGGGGTGGGAAAGTCTAGGTTGCAGGAGGTGTAGGAGCAGGCTAGGGGTGGAGGCTGCAGGAGTGGGGTGAGAGTGCAAGGTCTGGGTGATGGGGGGGGAAAGACACTTAACTGGCACAGCTTTCTGGTGGACACACATGGCTCTATGTCCCCCACCACTCCCCAACAGCTCCTACTGCCTGTGATTACAGCCAATTGGAGCTGTGGGGAAAAAGCCTCTAGGCAGTGCAGCTCTGCTGTTTCCCCAGTGGGAGAGGGGCGGAGGGGGGAAGGAGC